ACTGTAAGTTAAAAATTTCGTTATTCTGCGACAATGATGCCAAAAACTTGACCCTACCTACAATTACACATTTATTCAAGTTCTAAAAGATGGTAAAAAACTTGACCCAATTTATATTCAGTGGATAGTATGCAAAATAAATATGTTGTAAATTTCATTAATGGCTTATACAGTAAGGGTACTATATAAGTTACGTATCGTTTCAAGTAATATAGAGTTTTCTTTAAAAATCTCAGTATCGAACCCACAGGGAATAAGTGAATTCCTATGTCAACTTAGAAACATTTATACTCAAATAGTAAACCAAATTTGTAGGAGAATAATATCAAACTTTTTGTAATAGGGTATTAACTATAGTTTGCTAATTCTGAATTATTGCTCAAAGTAAATGTAAATTTTTAAACTACAGATGTGTAAAGGAGTACAATTATAAGGAGTACAATTATAATAAAAATCATTTTCCTTTCGCAAAGATATTATAATGAGTGTAGAAATCAAATGCTTAAAGGTAAAAATCAGTTTTTGTGACAAATAGAAGCATATTTATTCTTTACCCTCTTTTGAGTGCATAAGCAACAATAACTAATCTAAGGTTAAGTTCCCAATTGATATGGTTGTGTTGAGTAGATTTTAGGCTTTCACTTCCAGATTACACATTATCTCCTCTCTATTAGGACCAACCAAGCCTAAGGTTCAGAATTAAAGACCAAATTGATAAAGGTTCTAGCCTGTCACACTTAAATCATCAATTCTACGCACATCAAAACTTATCTCCCTATTTATTTGCACTCCATTCCTTGAAATTGGCTCCCCACCATTCATGGTTTAGTGTGGTACTCACTAGATAGATGAAATCATAGCCCTCCCAGTTTATTATATTTCGCAACAGATTTTTACATCACAAGTGGCCCGTTTGTAAAGAAAATTTTGAACCGGTGAAAGTACTATCACAAATTTATGGAATAAAAGAAATCTTCAAAACATTCTAATCATACTCATGATTTCTTCATAGTCTGATTGATGAAAAATAAAATTAGGAGTATTGTCATTCTTCTTTTTGTAGGAGAAAAATTCTTTTCATCTATATATATATATATATATATTAAAAATCATGTTTACAAGATAAAACTTAAATAATAGTACAAATACTTATCTAAAACTCTTTCCTAAGAAATTCTCTAAAGTTTCCAGACTGATCCTGACTCCTCGAAACTCAAACAAAACTCAACAAACACTCACAATCACAGAGACACACCACACTCTCACTATGCTGATCGGCCGCCCCAATAGTGTTCAAAACTACTGAACAACGGCTCTATTTTAGTTTGGAACACTTTCTTATTAATAAAGCTCTAAAAATCACTGAGGGTTACTTCAACCACATTTTCAAAATTTATCCAAATTCAATGAATATATGCCCAACCAATTTTGCCACCTGAGTGCCCAACCGTGGCGCCTAGATGCCGGCCTTCTAAATGTCCTGGCGCCAGGTAAATTTTTGTTCTTTATTTCCATTTGACCTATTAGAGCTCCATTTTTGCTTCTTTTGTTGTTAAACTCCATTTCTTGTTCTTGAAATAAAAAACATACAAAATACCTTTCATTAAAGCATAATATCCCTAAAAATGAGCATGAAATACATATATAAAAATAGGTACTTTTAAGGCGTGTCATCCGTCGACCACACTAACCCTGAAGCTTTTTCAACTATGATGCTATTATAAAAAACATACATCCTCTCCAACTCCCCAGTCTCATTCTTTGTTAATAATGAAGAATTGTCAGCCATGAGGAACCAAAGAGAATGAGAGACCACTTGGGTGCCATCGCAAGAAGCACGAAGATGACTGAAGGGTGAAAAGAAATAAAAGAATTGGGAGGCACAGAGAAAGAAATAAAAAAATGTGAAGGGTAAAAAATGGTCACGCACAATATTTATAGGGCTGACACATGAAATGAGGCGTCACATAATGATAAATGTCACACCAAATATCATTTCACATTTATTTAAATGTTGTTTTATCATAAAAAAAACATTATTGCATATCTCGAACAAAATGATTTATAAATAGGTCTTCTAAAGCTTCGGTCGAGACATACCCCTTTTGAGTCAACCTACAGATGACCAACTCTTCGTTGAACCTACTTTGCTCCACTCGGTTGGCATTACGTCGGAACTTACACAGGACGGTTGACTCATGGAGTGTTTCTAGTTCATACTGTACATTTGTTAGCCTAATTCACAAGGTGGTGACCTCCGCTGGCAGAGCTGTCATCTTTGAATCTGTGGTTGTCATGCCAACAAACAATTCCCGTGTCGGATATTCATCATAACCTCCAACCGCTCCAATCAAAGGTCTAATTATGCTCGTTCGCTGCTCCAAGAATTTAGAGGAAAGCTATTGCCAGTTTTACTACTCCTGCTGGGAGCCTTTGAAGTAACCAAGCAAGGTTGAAAGAGTGGGACCATCTACGGGCAAAGGAACGAGAGACTGTGATGGAAGCGCATTGATTGCATCTTGTGGCCCGACCATGACAACATGAATGGATTTCACAACGTCATTTGACCATATTTTATTTTCGTGATCCCTTAATCCAACTGTTCATCTACATTGAGATAATGTCAAGAAGTTAATAAAAACTGCTAAGAATTAGAAAAAAAAATCATACATGCTCAAAACTCAGCCCAATGAAGAAATGGCTTTATAGAGCTTGTTTTTCGTTTGTGATGAAGTATCTATTTTTTTTGTGCTGGCAGCTGAGGAGGATAGGTGACTGCCATTTCCTTTGATTCCTCTCCACTGAACTTGATGCCCTCATCAATCAGGTGCTGCTGGCCCTTAACAATCACACCTACGCTAGACCCTGGAGTTGGGTTTCCCTTGTGAGGCTTTTTCACAGCTTGCACCTCAGGACCCTTAGTTGAGTCAACTGGATCGACCAACATAGGTTCAGGTCTCGACCACTTATTTTCTTTTACAATCTATTTCCTCTTTATAACAACAAGAATCTGAAAAGGTCGCCATAGATAGAAGTTCGAGATCCACATTGTCTCAGCTCGTACCATTAGCCATGGCGTGTCTTTGCTATTTGGGGAGAACTAGCAGCAAAGAATGTAAATGCTAACCCTATGGTCCAATTTATAGGGTTCACGGGGCACAAAATCCAAATGGAACTTTATTATCAAATTAATTTTCTAAATTTCAGTTTCATGGATTGTTTAATAGTTAATTGTCCTTATCGTAGCTGTCACTATCAAGGAGCAGGAATACTAGGTGAACAAAGACTATGCACCAAAATTGGCAGCACAAATCTTAGAACGATCAAATGACCAAAGGTTGAGGGCTGAACAATCGAAGCGTCTGAGTAAAGGAGTATGATTTGAACTAGCCGCCGAATGACCGACCACTCAATTAATTCGGTCGACATGCAATGTCCGTGGGTTGAATCGGCAAGCCACACTTATGGTCCTAGCTACCCAAGCATCTTGCAAGAACGTACAGTTACAACTAGTCGACCGACCGGCTTTACCTCGGCGTATGCAATCGTCACGAGACTGGTCACCCAGGCCGACCAAACTCAAATTTGTCAACCAACTAGTAGCCGTTGTATTACACTTAAATTGTAATTTAAATTTGATAGGAAATAAGTGCATTAATTGCATTAAGGGAGGTTTCAATAATAGTTACTTTCTTTCAGAAATTGTACAAATAGGTGAATAAAGGGACTTCCCCCCGACTTCTCTGCTCGAAAGTCTCTAACCGCTCTATCCCCCCGACTTCTCTGCTCGAAAGTCTCTAACCGCTCTACTCTCTCTCTCTCTCTCTTCTCCTTTTCTGGCTCTAACTCTCGAGGCATGTGTTTTTGAAAGACAATTTAGGATTAACGCTGCAATGCTCCATGGCAGAAAATATTGGCATTTAAAAGAGACATAAAACAAAGTTAAGTGTTGTTGAGATGAGAATGCTTGAATGGAAGAGTGGCTTGCACTTAAGAACAAAATTCAAAATGAATAAATCCATGATACGATTGGTGTTGCTCCAGTGGTGGACATGATAAGAGAGGGTAGTCTTAGATGGTATAGTCACATTAAATGCTGACTATATGATAATTCGATTAGGAAAGTATATATTTTATATTCAACTTATGTTAAGAAATATAGAGGTAAACCAAAAAATCGTGGGCATATTGTATAAAAAACAATCTTAATCTATTATGATTGAATGAAAAAAAGACACACAATAGGTCACAATGAAGCAAAAGAATTCATGTAGTCGAACCCACTTAGTGGGATAAAGGCTTTTGTACTTAATCTTATGCATTAACATACCTAACTACTTTAAATTTTACCTACATATCACTTCACATAAAGATGAAAATGTATGTTTCACTTCTTAAAAATTGAAATGATAATATTTTTATGTGTTATGATGATTTCAGTGATATAAATGTGAAAAAATTAAATTAGGTGTTAGATAAATAAATAAATAGAAAATGAGCAGCACAGATGTAAATGCCCCTAAAATATAAGATTTGGAAAGATGGGTAATTGAAACATGGGGGGTTGCAATAAACTTTAGAGTAATTATCAATGTCAAAAGCTTAGTATAACCGTCTGTATGATTCACCCTTTGAGTCGTATTATTTGAAAAAAAAAACCGATTCTTTTTCTCGATTGTGAGTTTTAAAAAAGAAAGGAAATTTTCCTTTTTCAATTAAAGTTGAAAGGAACAATATATATATATATATATATATATATATATATATATATAAATGTAGACACATATACATGGACATTCAAATTTGATATTGATATCCTCTTGCCATATATGGCCCCTCCTAGTGTCAGAAGAAATTAAATCTATGGTCACAAAAATGTAAGACCTCTCTATCTATTTCCAATAAGTTGCATTAAATGAAAAATGCTTTACAACCATTCCAAATCAACATATTTTTTAAACAATATCTACCTATATGTAATATCTCAAGAAAAAAAAAAAAAAAGAAAAGAAAAGGAACTTACATATTGCACCACTCTTGTACATAAAATTCCTCATCTAAAAGGAAAATATGTTTCCCATGTGGGAGAACAAGGACAGTAAATTCAAGTTCCATATTGCCTGCTAAATCGATCAAATCATACTATTTACAATAAAACCCCTTTACTTGAACAATGATACACATATTTATATATAACATCAAAGCAAGGCCCTTTCTGAAAATCACAAATTCACATAGAATTCGTACCTGCAAATCAAATGAAACCAAATTAATGGCCACAAAAGATCAACACCTTTAATTGCAATAAAATGTGGCCCATCACTAAACATATCACCTCTGCTGAACTCACCAACTAATACATCAGCTCCCAAATTTCGTTTCTTCATCGAGCCATCAGCTTCGAAAAATATACACCGAGTTGACTCAGCCCTATTGATGCATTGTTGGGGGAATCTGATAAGCGACCGGCATAACATAAGGAGCATGGCCAGGAGGAAGCATAACTGGAGTTCCAACAGCAGAAACAATGTGGCCTGGAACTGGATGCCCCACAGGCGCTCCATATATTCCCATGGCAGCTACATTGGGCTGTAATGGAGGCGGATTAATGAAGGATCCTACAGGTGGTGCACAATTCACCATTCCCTGACCAGTTATAGGCCCCTGGGAAGAAGTTTGTACATCTCCATTATTCACATTGGTGATGTCGTGGATGCTCGACCGACGCCGATCTCGATTGATCGAATTGAGGCGAATGAAGTATTTTTGTGCGTGGCTTGCGACCTGTGTGGGTGTCCTCGACACGACGAAGTTTCTCGATATGCTCCTCCAATCGCCTTTTCCAAACTTCTCGAGGCCGAGTAGAAACAACCTGTTGACAAGAGGTGCCTGCTTCATTAAGAATTATATGGGTGGCTTTTGTTTGGGCTTTATAAGAAAAATCAAATGGAAGATTTACATACATACCACTAAATACTTGTATATTTACATATCTCACTTCTAAACTTTCATATTTACACACATAACACTCTGGTGTTTTAAATCTTTGCATGGAAAGGTCTATTTAACTTTTAAAAAGTGCAAATAGTATTACTTTTTATTTGTTATTAAGAATTTGAGTGCAATGAGTGTAATATGCCAGTTTAGCCGTGAAATATGACAGTATAGGTGTGAGATATGTAAATGCATTAGAACATTGTGATATGTATGCACATGCCCTAAATTGAAGTGATAAAAAATGAAGACTAATTACTACTTGAACCAAAAACTATGTCGAGAATGTTTAGACCTCTTGAGTTGTGGAGACTGTCGCAGAGTTATCGGAAGGTATCTAATGTACGTGGGTAGTTTTATTAAGCTTGTTTCGGAGATTATATAGTATTTTCGGCTGTAACAGTTTTCTCTTTATAATGAAAGGGCCGTTTTCTTTAGGTAGCATTAGAGGATTTAAGGCTGTACTTCTCTACAATCAAGTAAAAAAAAATTTATAATAATAATAAAAAAAAAGTGCAGCAGTAGCAATGGGACATAATCATCACTATAAAATACTTTTTTTTTGTTTTTAATCCATTTACTTTTTTTTGTTTTTTGAAAGATTTACATGCATCCCACTCATTTCCTATGAATTTACTCATCTAGCAGCTAATTTTCGCTTTTTAAATACATGCCACCTTACATAATCAAAAGGTGTATTTCAATTTTTAAAAATTAAAATGATAATATTTCTGATGCGATGTGACTTGTTCGGAGAGTATAAATGTATAAAAGTAAACACTGTGTTAGATATGTAAATGCACAGGAATTAGGAGGCATGTGCGTGAGTGCCCCTTTCTGTTTTTTTCTAGCACTTGATGACTGAATTATATTTCACCAATTCTCATCAAAAACAGCATTTCTATGTTCCTAATTCTACTTCATGTCAGGATGACAAGAAAGTCTAACTACTTTCCAGGATGACAAGAAAAGAAAAGAACAGTGAAAAAGTGTTGGAAGTACTGTGCTTTTTAAAAGCATAACTGTGATGAAACAGGCACTCTACAATTAAACATTTGAAATCAAGTTGCGAAATTTACAAACATAACCACACAATTCTAGTGTATTTACATAAACAACACCCAAAAGATTTGATATTTACGCTTATAAAACATAGTGTCATGAACCTATGCATGAAAAAGGTGTATTTCACCTTTAAGAAAGTGTGATGGTGATATTTTTGATATGATGGTAAATATTTGAGCATGCATGTAAATGTGAATGTTTAGGTGCTACATATGTTAATACATAAGAATTGAATGTTATGTACGTAAATGCCCCAATCTAGTTTCATCTGCAAAAAAAGTTATATACTTTTCAATCTTCACTGATTTTACCATCAACCAATCCTATAAAGATGTCACTTCTACAATGAAGAAAAATCTTGCCTGGTTATTCTGATATTATAAGCAATCATAAAGGTACATAAAACCATATCTGGCAAGATTTCTGTTGACTGTAGGAGTAAAATAAATTTAAATTCTAGCCAAATTTACTGCAGAAAGAACCTGTAGATGCATTCAATTTACTTTCCCCATCTATTGTAGCCAAACAAAAAGGCTCCTCAAATAAATGTCCACACCCCAACACGCTCCCCGAAAAAAAAAAAACCCTAACAGGTTAACATACAAGGGCAATCCTCTAATAATGTTCCATAAATTAAAAAAAAAAATAGAGATACCTTATTTTTTGGTAAATCTGTTCATAAACTTGGATATAAGCACGTATGTATTCTTCGCTTGATATCTAAAAATCATTATCCTCTAATAACTTAGAGAACGCATTGGGTCCCAATTTTCGAAAAGAAATCCTAATTCCTTCGATTTCTCCCAATTCTCACCAAGGCATTAACCAAAATAAACCCCCAATTTTCCATTCATAAAGAAATGCAATCTGCTGCTGAATTAAATACAGAAAAAAGTAGCTAACCTATGCTCTTCTTCAGTCCAAGGAATCCCTTTCTTACGCTCCGGATCAGATTTAGAACCGCCCTTACACTGTCCTCCCGAATCAAATCCTCCACTCCCCGCTTTCCGATCGGCAAACCCGTTGTGCTTTTTCTCAGCCTGATCACCGCTTCTTGGGGATGAAGATGAATCATCGTCGTAACGCGGAATCGGAACCCTACCAGCATCGATGGCGCTTACATCCTCAATCAACAACCCATAGTGTTTCTTAATTTCAATAATAGTCTTGCCCGGAACCCTAGCAGCCACCGACTCCAGCCACCGATCCTCCGCCGCCAGTGGAGGTGCGAGAGCCTCGCTCTCGTCCTTAGCTGGGTAAGGTACCGTGGCCAGAGCGTTCTCGAATGCCTTCTCGTCTTCTCGGCTCCACCACGACGCTTCCTCTTCTCCGGTCGACGCCGGCAAAGACATCGCTACGATGTGACTGAGCCGTTGAGAAAAGAGAGATTAACGGAATTGGATCGAAAGCGAAGTGCGCGGTTCTCTAGCTTTGATTTGATTATCTGTTTCCGAGCTGTGGACGGGGGGGGGGGGGGGGGGAGAGAGAGAGAGAGAGACGCAAAAGCCACGGCGGAGGCCACCGTAAAATTACGGTCATCCTGACAATTTATTGTTGCATATTTTCCATTCCACCCCTTTAAAACAACTTTAACTGCGAAACCTACCTTATTTATTTATTCTCTTTTCACTAGGGATAGTGTGTCTATTTATGAGAATATTTTAGATATTTACAGTTCCTTTGGGATCATTTTTTATATTTTATTCTTAATATATTTTTATTTTAATTATTTTTTGATTGAGTTAGTTATTTTTATAAATAGGTTCTTTTTAGTATTTTTAAAAATAGGTTGATTCATTATTAAAATAATAAATAAAATTATAGAAATTAAATATGTTTTTCAAAATAAATAAATAAATAAAGAAATATAACAGCAAACAAAAGTGATGCTAAAAAAGAATTAAGAAATCTAAGGGCTTATTTAATTAAGAAATCTAACCATTTTTATTTTTTTGCTATTATTTTAAAACATATTTATTTAGTGTCATTTTTACATATTTTATTTTTTTAAAAAAATAAAATTAAATCACTTTTAAAAACACTTAAAAAAACTAAAATTATTCTGACTATTTTTAGAAAAACCTAATATATTTTATCATACCAAATATATTTCATTCAAAATAAGAATACAAAAAAATAAAAGCTGAAAAATAAAAAAATCAAAAGTAATACAGAATAACCCCTAAGTATCTCAAGATAATTAGATTTAGTAATACAAAATAAACTGGTAAATTTCAAAATTATTGAACTTGCTTTAAAATGAATATGCTATAAATATTAATTGAGTTTTCATGTATCGTGCACATTTCAATGACATTTTTCAATCATTTTTATCAAAACTTTGATCAACATATTATATACAAAATTTTTTCATATATATTTTTACTTGCATATTTATTTGAGGTACGTTGAATCATTAGACTTCTTAGGGTTTACTTTGGTTGTTAAACATTGCAGGCTCTGATATTTTAATATTTTAAAATATAATATATTCAATTGAATTTTAATTTCTAAATACTAAATGAAATAAATTTCTTAATTTAACAAGTAATTTAAATAAATATTAATGCAATATTGTTTTAATAGTATAATTCTAATATTTCTTTTCTTAAAAATTAAGGGGTTGTTTGGGATAACGTTTAATTTTTAATTTTAATTTAAGTTTTATTTTTTGGTATTCTGAAGGAATTTTTTTTGGCATATTAATTAAGATATGATTATTTAAAAAAAAAAAAGAAACTCAAAACACTTTATTGCTATTTTGAGTGATTTTCACATAATGATTTTTTTAGAAATAAAAAATAAAAGTATATAAAAAAACATAATAAGTAAAATATTTTTAAAAATAAAGAAAAAAATTAAACCCAAATTGGAAGATATATAAAAAAAACATAATAAGTAAAATATTTTTAAACCAAATGTGAAATAAACCAAATAAGTATGTCCAATTGTAAATATATATCAGTTTTATAAGAAATAAATGCATATGTGATTCACTTTGAAGCAACAAATTAAAAGGATTTATATTATATCTCCTAGGTAGTAAGAAGTGGTACCTGAATAAGGTAGCTAGTGTACATGTGAAAGATATTTTGAACATCCTAACCTCGTAAGTGGTTGTCATTTCTAGTAAGTTAAACAGCTTCAGGATGAATTTATTACAGGGATCCCTACCTAGTGATGAAATAGTCTATGGAATAGTAGGAAATCCTAACACTACAACTTTGGAGACCATGAATGTCTTGGGAAATATATTCAACAACCTCTATTCTAGTACCTATAACACAAGTAGAAAAATTCATTGAGAATTCAATTAGAGTAATAAAAACCATGTGGAAAGTTGGAACAAACAAGGAAGTAGTAATTCAAGACAGACCTACGCATTGGGATTCACTTTTAATTCTCAGTTTAAGGAGAAAAGTCTATCTTTGGAAGAGATTTCACCAAATGAGGAAACAACTACAAAGCCAAGTTTCATCCATAAGTAACATGGAGAATTAAATTAGGTCGTTAGCTAATTCATTGAGTAATAAACTCCAAATGATGTACTCTAGTAACATCGAAGTGAACCTAATAGATCAAAATGTAGAGTAATGTAAAGCCATCAGTTTGAGGATAGTGATGGAGTGGGAAGATATCCTCAGAAAGGAGAGTAGACCTTTAGAGCTAAATCTTGAGTCTGAGAAATTGATTGAAGAAGCTAACTTAAAATAAGGGAAAAGATCCTCACCTTTTGGAATAGTATAAAAGAGTATACCACCACATTTTCCTCTAAAGAACCATAAACAAAAATTAGAACAAAAGTTTACCAGGTTTATTAAATGTTTTAAAAAGCTCACAATTAACATTCTATATACTAAACCCTTAAAATAGATGTCTAATTAGATGAAGTTTATGAAAGATATCCATCACAAGAAGAGAACATTCAAATAATTTAAAACTGGTCTATTGATTGAGGAATATAGTGCAATCCTAAAGAAGAAAATTAAGGACCCATTTAGCTTTATAATTCTATGTGCCACAGAAAAATGGTTTTCTCAGAAAGTTCTTTATGACATAGGAGGAATTATCAATCTCAAGCCTTTATCCATTTTTAAATAGATTTAGATTAGGAGATTTTAAGCCACTAAAATGACCTTGAACTTAGTTGACCGATCCATGACCCATCCTAATTGGGTGATAGAGGATGTGTTAGTGAAGGTTAAATAACTCTGTCTTCCTTGTTAAAATTTTCTTTATAGACATGTATGAGGATACAAAGATCCCCATCATACTTGGCATACCCTTTTTAGCCAGTGAAAGATGAATGATTAAGGTGTAGAAGAGAGAACTGACAGTTAAGTTAATGATTAGGAGGTGACTTTTAATGTTTTGAACTTAATAAAAGTTTTCAAGGATCTAGAGATGATCAATGCCATAGCATAGAAGTGATGGCAAAGGTACTTGATAGCTAATTTGTTTAATATGTGGAAGTTAATCTAATAGAACAAGCGATGGTTAAGGATTGTAACAGGAATGCTAAGGAAGAATCTGATAAACTTCTAGTGGTGAACCCTATAGCCTTAAAGGATATAAGTGAGCTTGTGAAGAAGGCTACTAATTGAAACAAGGCTAGGTGTTGTGTTTTTGGGGTGTACTTGCTCGTATTTGTTTACTATGAATTTTTAAACTTAATTTGTGCAGCAATGTGGCTCTACACAGATGATCCAGGTCAGGTTTTCTTGCACCCCTACGCGTCACACAAGTATACATGGTCATTTCAAATAGAATCAAATTTTTTGGTTCGGATTGTATATCCCACTTAGAAGGTGTTTCAATCCTATGAAAAGTTTTAGTCTACTAAACTATTCCTTAGCTTGGAATTATCAATAACCTTAAGGTTATACAAAAGGTTAAATCTACTTAACAACTCAATTAATTATATTAAAATATGGAGGAAATTAAGTGATAAGGCTACTCTCCCCTTTGTAATGGTATAAGAGGTGTGTAAATAGTGAATGCAATAAATTGAAAGTATTGTACGTGATAAATAGGAGCATTTATCTTCTTAGCTCTCTCCTAAGTGGATAAAGAAGTTTGGCTCAACTAGTTTTAATTCCTTAAACCCTAAATTGAACTCATCAAAGAGTATTTTCCTATCAATTTACATATCCCTATATGTTACTTTTGCTTCATACCCAATAGTTCCAATGTGATTTTTCCTAATTGTTCATGTCATAGCCCTCCCGGGTCATTATGGGTTTACAATGATTTCAAAAAAATCATTTGGCCAGAATGATAAGTGATGCGGGTTTTTGTTATGCATTATAAATGTTTTTTAACACCACAACACATAAGGCAGAGGCAATTATACTAAAAAATAAGCAAATTAACCACAATAAAAATTACTTCAGTATAATATGTTTTCTCTATTAAAATATCTAAAGCCGCCACTCCTAGTAAATTAAGGTGTATTTTCAATTTCAAATCATCACTAGATTGCAAACAAAAGTATACATAATGTTCAAGTAATAAAGGGCTCTAATGGAGTTCTGAGTATCGATCCCTCGGGGAGGTGAAAATTTGTTTGAAAAATCATGTGGAGTTCTGAGTATCGATCCCTCGGGGAGGTGAAATTTTTTTTGAAAAATCATGCAAAAACACAATATTTCAACTATAAAAAACTTAAGTAAGAAAGCAGATAGAAATTTATTTAATGATAATAAAGAAACTACGTTTACTACACTAATCTCTAAAGTTCAAAGTTAAATTTCTTAAAACTAAACTTGGTTTTGTGACGAATAGTCCAAATTAAGAAAACATCCTTCCCCTTACAACGAGATTATAGTCAGTGAATCATCAAATTGAAGAAATTTGTATTATGGCAAATAAGAGCAATTATATTCTTTATCCTTTTATAAGTGATAAAGAACTCTGGATAATTCAGTGTTTAGTCCCTAAATCTATGGTTAATCTAGGAAGATAATGAATATCACTCTAGAGTTCCCTCATTCTCCTTGGTTGAGGGCTAGCATCTCACTTTGGTTTCCAAATTCCTGGACCAAATTGAAGAGTATGTCACCCTAAAATCTCTAAATCAACACCCATCAAAGATTATTTCCATATTTATTTGCACTCAACCCCACAAACTACATTCTCATCCTGAAATTGAAGAAATTTGTATTATGGTAAATAAGAGCAATTATATTCTTTATCCTTTTATAAGTGATAAAGAACTCTGGATAATTCAGTGTTTAGTCCCTAAATCTATGGTTAATCTAGGAAGATAATGACTATCACTCTAGAGTTCCCTCGTTCTCCTTGGTTGAGGGCTAGGTCCCTAAATCTATGGTTAATCTAGGAAGATAATGAATATCACTCTAGAGTTCCCTCATTCTCCTTGGTTGAGGGCTAGCATCTCACTTTGGTTTCCAAATTCCTGGACCAAATTGAAGAGTATGTCACCCTAAAATCTCT